AATGGTTAAAGATGCTGGATTAGCATGCAAATATATAATTGCTAATAAACCTCAAGGCGCACCTGTTACAGAACGGTAAAAATTAAATTTTATTTTTATCATAAGTTGTATATATGGAATTAAAATTATTTTATTATATTAGAGCAATACCATTAGCCATATTTCAATCAGAACCAGCAATAAGAAAATATTATTTACGTAAATGGTTAAAAGATCCTAGTCTACAAAGCGATGATATACGGAATATTTTAGATTGGAGTTATTATATTGAAAGACTCGGAAGTGCTATTCAAAAAATTATTACAATTCCGGCAGCAATGCAAGGAGTATTTATATTTATATATATGTATAAAACATTTTTTAATATTTACAGCAAAAGAATAATTATTTTTTTTAGCTGTCTAATCCAGTTCCTAGAGTAAAACATCCGGATTGGTTACACAAAAGAGTAATGGAAAAAAGTGCAACTCATAAACAGAGAAAGATTACAGATGTATTTAGCGTAATACATAAAGATAAGGAAAAAGATAATGATCACGATTTAGAACCATCTGATACTTGTGATATAGAAGATATAGCTGGAAAAGCTCCAATATTTAAACAACCAATACCAATAGCCAATAAAAGAAAACGACAAAACTCGGAAGAAAATGAATTAGAAAATATAAATAAAAATTGGAAAGATGTTCTAGGTTCACCACCATCAATGGGAACAACAAAAGAAGAAAGATTAGAATGGCTAAAGTTTCATAAACAAAAATGGGCTTATCAAGCTAAACAAAGAGCTGAATATCAAAAGAGCAAAAAAAGTAAACGTTCTAATGATAATGGGGATCGAATTAGTTGGGGTGTAACACGAAATACTAATACATCCACATTAGGTGGTTTTTTGAGACGAGCTCAAAGAAAATTGTTTATGACTCCATGGCAAATTATACAAGTAGAAATATATTTTTTTTATAGTTATATTTAGAATATTAGATATATTGATTGATTCAAATAATTAATAAATTATTTAGATATCACAAACAAATGAACCTGGTTTATATCGATTATGGATATTAATCGAAAAAGATTTTCATCAATTGCGTCTTGTGGTACCTCGTATATTTTATGTAAATACTCGTAAACCAAAACCTGATCCAGAACCAGGTAAAAAAGTATCTTGGAAAAAGAGCATGAAGATTCTTCCACGATCTCGTCCCGTATATAATTTATATCAATATTCTGTACCAGAAATACAATATCAAAAACACAGTCAGTAAGTTTCTTTCTTTAAATTTTTTTTCAATAATAATATTTCAATCATCTAACTTGTTTAATTAATTAATTTATTTATAGAGAACTTTTAGAAGATTTGAGTAAACCAGAAATTGAAGGAATTTATGAAACTCAAATGTCATTAGAATTCAGAGCTATTCTTCAATTGGGATGCATTTGTACAGTTGATCCTAAAGCAGCACGCACGATGGCAGATGGTGCAGATACATTTTCTTTAGATCAATTAGAATTCAAGAGTATTGCTGTGCAACCTTATCTTCAAAATGTAATTAATTTTTTTTAGTAAAAATTATCGTATCTTTTGTAATTTATAAAAAAAAAATTTCATTTTAGCTTCATGAAATCAATTATGTTTTCTTATATCATCATTGGAGTTCAAATCATCAAAGAGCTTTATGGGGACTTTTTCTGAATGCAAGTAAAAGAGCTCATATATTTGTTTTGGATTCTGTTTCTTCAAATCAGATGCCTAATATGAATACATTGTATACTCAAGAACGGGATATTGTGTAAGATTTATAAAATCTGATATTGTTATTATATTATGAAAATGATTAAAAGATAATTTTTTTTATAGTATATCTATGAATGGAGCAGACAAAGTAAAATTTTTACCAGAATCAATGCAATTCACTTTGAAATTTGAAACAAATTTTCAACAAGTTTGCCGCATTATACAGGCAGCTATAACTGCATATAAAAATGAAGGATATAGTATACCAATATTTATTACTCAAACTGCTTTGGGTAAATTTATTAAATTTATAAATAGAATTTAGAAATATTTTCAAAAATCATTTCTCTTTAAATAATCTCTCATTCTTTTTTATTTTTTTGATTATTCATTTATATTTTTGAATTTTTGAAAAATTCTACAAATTAGTAAAATTTACTAAAACATGAGGAAGAAATATTTGAGATGTTTATTTTATTAACTTTTTAATTAATTTTATTTTTATACATTTATTTTAGATAAAACTGCATTGATAGCACAAATGCCACTACTTAATGATTTTCCTTTAATTAGTACACATGTGCAAGATATTGAAAATTTATATAATACACTGGAATGGCAGAAAGTTGGTGCAAAAATAATGATACGTCATTATTTTAAAAGTCAACAAATTCTTGAATTAATGTCAGAACAATGTAGATTCTTTCATGCGCCAATTGGAAATATCCCAGCAGATCCTGTTATTTTTGGTGCAGATTTATTTTTTGCTAGACATTTACAAAAGAATAATTTTGTGTTATGGTGTTCTTCAACGGAAAAACCAGACTTAGGTGGCAGTGAACATGATGATAACAGGTTTTTATATTTATATTTCAATATAAAATTTGAATTATTATTATTATTTTAAAATAAATTAATTACAGATTATTAACGGATTTTGAGGAAAGTTCACAATGTGCTGCAAATAATTTTGGGACATATTCTAGTGTTTGCATTGAATTAGAAATAGAAAATTTAGCAGTAAATACATTATTACAATATCATCATATTCATGATATTGATGGAACTTCTAATTTTGTTGCATTCCACAATCAACAACAAACATCTGTTCAAGTATGTAATTTTTTAAAAATGCATATTAAAAGATGGAAATTTACATATGTATATGTAAATTTAATTTTCATAGGATATGGCAATGGGTGATTCTATGATGAATACAATTCCTAGTTACGATGAAATAGTTCTTTGTAGTCCCGCTTTTAGATCATTACGAAGTATGGTAAATGCATGGTTACTAGATGTATCAGTTTATAAAAATGTATTTGCAGATTATCAAATTATTCATTTTTACAGGTAAGCATGAATATTTACATGTTTTATATATATTTAATTTAATGTAAATTTATATTTTTCAGATGGTTACGTTCACCTAACGCTTTACTTTACGATCCTGCTTTAAGAAGAACATTGCATACTTATATGAAAAAATTATTTATACAGTTATTAGCAGAATTTAAAACTTTAGGATCCATAATTGTTTTTGCGAATTTTAATAAAATCATTGTATGTACTAAAAAAAGAGCAGTAAATGATGCGTTAGGCTATATAGAATTTGTTGTTCAAACAATACGTAATAAAGAAATTTTTCATAGCATTGAAATAACTTTTGAACAATGTTGGGAGTATTTAAAATGGCTTGATGTTGTAAGTAAAATTTTAATTTTTACATTATAATAATGGATATTATATTTAATTATTCAAGATATTATATTTAATTATTTCACAAAACAAATTAACAGCATAATTATGCCGGCATAAAAGGAAAATTAACACAAAATATGCAGGAAAATATTGCAAATAAAAATATGAACGATGAAAATTCTGACAATGAAAATGAAGATGAAGATGAAGATACTGTAAGTCTTTATAAAATTTTTTTTATATTGTATTATATCTGTATTATATATTTTTATTAAATTTTTATTTATATTAAGCCTGAAATAGTAATGAACTGGAATTTAATGGAATGTCTTCCTAAAGAAGCTGCATGTCAATCAAGTTTTAGCGCTATAATAGCGGGATATATTAATGCAATTTACCAATTTATATCTGAAAATGAATTGAATACTACTATAAAACCTAGAAGAAAATCGAACAGTCAAAGTTTAGCAGCACAATTAGGATTAGGGTCGCTTGAAAATACTGCAAATTTTGCTAAAAAACTTATATCGGGAGATATGTCTCAGAAACTGTTTCAGTAAATATATTTTCTTTATTTCATCTTTTTCATTCATTCTTTTTCATCTATTTCATCTTTCATCATGAATTTGATATTTATTTATTTGTTAATGTATATTTAATTATATTATAGAATTGTGCAGAAAATATATAAAAAACTTCCAGAAATAACATTAACAATTCAAGAATATCCAAACTTAGATTTAGATGGTAAAGATAGCAAAAGAATTAATCCTGCATTGGAATTAGTTAAATCAGTTTGTAAGGTATTTAAATAAAAAAATAAATATATTAGGTACATAAGTATTATTTTAAAAAATAAATAATTGAAAATTTAACTTCAGGTTTTATCTTTGGATAAAGAAGTGGAAAATGAAGTATATCATTTACAAACAAATTTGTTAAGATTGATTAGAATTGGCAGCTTTAGTGATGCAGTTGAATGGAAAGATCCATGCATTTCTTTAATTTTACCTGAAATTATTTGTAAGGCATGTAATCATACAAGGGACATTGATCTTTGTAAAGATAATTTTTGTATTATGGAACAGAATAGGTAATATAAAATATTATATATCTTAATATTTAATATTTATAACATTAATTTTTTATGATTATAATTTATAAATTTAAATAATTTAAATAATATTACTATTTATATAGATATATATGGAAATGTCCTCTTTGTAAAACAAGTTATGATAATGAAGAAATAGAGTTTCTTTTGATAGATTTATTAAATCGTAAGAGTATGGGTTATATATTACAAGATTTACAATGTTGTAAATGTAAAGAAATTAAAAGGGAAAATATGAATGAACTATGTTCTTGTTCTGGTGATTTTAAAACTTTAATACCTAAAGATGAAATAGTGAAATTTATGAAAATATGCAAGTCTGTGGCCAGAAAATGTGATATGGAAACTTTAATGGAAATAATTCAAAATACAAAACTCATAGAATCAAAATAATTTTATCAATGTATAGATATTATAAATAACAAATTAAAAATGAAAACTATATTTTTATATCTTTACTGTATTAATATTTATATCATTAGTATTAAGGAAATAAAGTTTAACATGCTTGTATTTATAATTTTATATATACATGTATTTTTATAACTATTTACTTGACATCATATATTATAATTTTAACATAAATATTTTAGTTTTAGATGTGTATTCATTGTTCCACTACTGGCTCTGAAATTAAAAATTTTTCATGTCTTATTTTTTATACACGTATACATATATATAATAATAATATTTATTTTAAATATTATTGTTTGATAATAATACCTTGAAATTTAAATTTTGGAAAATCTGTTGGATCACCCTTTATATTAAATTGTTTTTTAACTCTGTCAAGTTCTGCCTGTCTTTCTTTTTCAATCTCAGGAGGAACATCTAATTTTCCACTACTAAATTTATAAATTAATATTAAAATTATTATAGTATTATTATTTACTTAAATTAAATTAAAATTATTTTATTGTTTTTTATTTACCTGCTTTTTGCTTTGTATTCACGAATTTTATCTAAGAAAAGTTTTTGTATGGGATCTTTTGCTTCTTGAAAAACTGGTGCAAGAATACCAATGTTACGTCTAATAATTTTTGGTGTACTTGAAATTAATTGTTGAATAAGCATTTTTCCTTCAACAAATCAAAGATGATTTATTTAATAAAAATGAGATAACGATTAATGAATTAAAGATGTGTCAAATGATAAAATCAAGTTCTATAAAATCTTATGTAATAGGTTATGTTCATTACATAAGACATAGTAAAAAAAAATAAAATAAAATATAATAAATAAAACATAATATTAAAACAAAAATGAAATATAAATAAAAGTTTATTAAAAATTATATAACTTAAAATCCTTACTTCTTTATTTAGATAATACTTGACAAGTACTGGTCAATATTCGTTACCTTAGAATATATACGAATCTATAGAGTGCAATCATTTTTATAAATTATACTAAGAAAAATATTGTTTTAATATAAGTTATATAATTAATAAAAATTTAAGTATATGTTGAATTAAAAAATTTTTATTCTTTTTAAATATATTTATTATAAATATTAAAATATTTCTTTATTTTTTTTAATTGGTATATTTTATATGCTTTTTGTAATAATAGTATTACCAAAATTTAACAATCTTTCTTCGTTAAATTTCATTTATATACCTTAAATTCAAATTTTTCATTATTTTTTATTATGTATATTAATATATATATAATAGCTAAAAATTTGAATATTTGTAAACCATCTATTTATTCATATATCCCGGACTGTAGCATTGTTCCAACGGAAAAAGCAGAGCATAACAACGAATCACAGAAGAGGATGCATACGCCCACCACCGATTGGTCAGAGACACTAAATCGCGGGAGGGGTGGTGGAGCCCGCTCTTAGTTTCATTCATGAACGTCTGAGTCGTAGCCATAATACATTTGTAATCTGTATTGTGTACGGGTATACCGCGTTAGTGCTGCCGATGTGCGTGCGCCTCACAGTCGTACACGTGATTCTTGTTTTGTGTTCAGTTCTCTTTGGGTGTTTTTCGTGTACAATATTTAAAAAATTGATACAGTTGCGTTCTTCATTGGATTTTACGTTGGAAAAAAGGTAAGTAAATACGTTAAAACAAGTTTCTGCGCGCTTTCTGCGTGATATGAGCGCGCGAACGCGATTCTTCGAAACTTTCGAACGGATTAGCTTAGACTTGAATCTTGTCAATAAAAAATGATGTTGCAAAACAATATGAAGAAATTTTGATCTATTATGAAAGGGTAAAATATAACATCACGAGAAAAGTATACGCCTACGTTCAGATAGACTTATATTTATTTTGACGGAATGTTTTCTTGGTTACTTTACATCCCACAGATAATCAGAAAACGAATATTTTAACCTACGATATGTCGTACAAGGATACGACATATCAAAATCAAGTTTTATTTGTTTATTTACATTGGCTTTAATTGAATTCGAGACAAGTGAATCATAGTTTTGTCCAAGAATTTTTTGATTCTCTCTTTTTTCATATTTTTCTTTATATTTGATGTGACTTCTGAGTAACAATATAAATTTATATCATTCTTCAACTATGTAATAAAATTTATATTGTTTTGCGCATATCATATAATTTAAAAGATTCAATTTCTTACTATATCATTTATTGTTCATATTTTTAATTCGTTTGAAGGATATTTATTCGAAGAAAGATATGGTTATACGATAAAAATGATATTGTCTTAAATATAATTAATGTTTCAAACGATGTTTTTTTGCAATGAAATTCGATATTTATAAAAACATTTTGAAGATTAGATCTCTCGCATTGATTTATATCAAATCATAAATATCTTATACTTGATAATCATATCATATCTTGCGTCACGTTCAATTTTACTTTTATCATTTCGAATGTAAGTACTTTCCGTTTATAAAATCTTTTTTAATTATCTTTTTTTTCAAATAAGTATTCAATCAAATTAAATTTTATGTATAATTAAAAATTGATAAATAAATTTATTTCGAAAACGCAGATACAATATATACAAAAAAGTTATATATATTACAAAATTTATAACATATTAGAATATTAAATATATTTTATTAATTTATATTTGGGTAATTATAACCTTTTATATCTCATATATAAAACGATATAAATTATACATATTCACATATATATATAACCTAATTAATTCATGAAATTAGTTAATTGCTTGAAATTAGTCACTTATAAACTGTCTAATCGATCATCATTGCCAACTTATCGAATTCATAAATTTTTATTAACTTATATTTAATTGTAAAAACATTAACTTCAATTTGATAATTCTGTTAAACTTTATTTTCAAATTCATTGAATATTTATCATAATATTTTAAACTCTGACAAACCGTTTCTGTCGAGTCTGGATTAATTTTTCATACGATGTCTGTGTAATATATTTTGCTGGTAATGTGTGTAGGTAATATTTCTGTCGAACAGTATTTGGTATACATACAGAACGAAAGAAAAGAGCGGGAGAGAAGAGACAGAGAGATAGAAAGAGTGTGAGAGAGAGAAATAATGTGTGGCACAGTGTAAGTTAAACGCATACGAGGGGATGGCTAGCCTGGCAATTTAAAAAAGGAACGCGATGCCCTCGGTGTTGGTGGGTCGAATGGTTTTTGTACACTTTCTCGGATCTTGGGGAGTACAGCATGGCAACGCCGCGACCTACCATGTTTCTTCCCTCGTTTGTCTCTCGACTGTTTCGTCTCTCTACCAAAGACGCGACAAATATCAAAGGCAAGAAGACACCACGATGACAAAGCTCTGCGAATGTTCTGACATTGCATGAGGAATAGAAAGAAAGAAGAAGAGAAAGAGACGGAAAGAAAGGAAGCATGCGCGTGAAAAAGAGAAGCAAAGAAAACCGTTGATCGGTTCAGAGACAAGATGATTTCTGTTTCGTCAAATATGTTTTCTGCAAGAAAAGATAGAAAAAAGAAGAATTCCCATTTTGTAACTTTATTTCAATAATTGAGTCTATAATCGTGAAGTATACTTCTAGTCAATTGCATGAGTTCGAGATACGATAGTTTCGATCATTCGATAGTTTCGTACTTTCGATTATCGAATGAAACAGTTCTTTTTACGTTCAAATTCGGTAGTACATCGGTAGTTTGTGACGTGAGTGTTTAATTTTGTGAAACAATTTCTGAAATTGTGGATGAAAAAAGACATTACAAAGTTTTAATTAGATTGAAAGTCAAGCGCATAATGAGATTTTTCCCCATATGGATCCATCGTGGATGCTGAAGCTCACATACGGGCCTATACATGTTGTGACCTGGAGGAACGTCTGCCCGCATCTGGAAACCCAACGGCAGCTCCTCGAAAGATATTATATTGCTCTCTCGCCGGAGTTGAAACAATAGACACTTCAGCTTCTCGAAGGACAGTTTATATACGGTGTCTCATAAAAAAGATACGAAAATCATAATAGTTTTTCAACCGGATCTTTCATTCTTAGATACACGTAAGAATTTTATGCTCATTTTTTCTGTCATTTTATCATCATTTAAATGATCATTTAAAAATAATTTTCTTTCTTAAAAGCGTAATAATATTGTTAACATAAAACAGAATATAAGAATTATAAATTATAAATTGAAAAATAATTTTTCTCAAATGAAAAACCATGTTTCAAATAATATTTAAAAATATTGATAGAGATAATACTAGCTTTTTTTCTTCTTCTCCGATCTTTCTTATTCCGGTTCCATTTCATAGACAGAAAAATGTAAGAATTCTCGAAGAAGTTATAAACTTCGATGTTATGTGTATGTATTAAATGTATTAGCATCTAAGAATTTTTTGTTTCGTTGTTTGTTCCAGCTAGTATGCGGTTAGAAAATTCAAATATAAACTTTAAAGTAAAGCTTATATAACGTTCAATAATTAATATCATTTCGATCAACTTGTGAAATGAAATAAACCACTGATGTTAGGACTTTACCTCTCAGTATCGAGTGATCTTTTGAAAACGCAGGTAGACATCCGAATGGAAACATCCCTATGTTTGCGCGGAAGTCGGTTGGACACTTTAAAAGCCGAAACCGATCACGATCCTTTTCTAAGGTTCACTGATGATTGTCAGGTACATATAATAGGGAACAAGAAAAGAAAACTATTCAGAATCTTCATAATTAGGGTATTCTAAGATATTTATTAGGGTTCTATTTTGTTTCAATTCTTCAATTTATTGAATAAATTGAATTGTGAATATAATAAATTAATTTTAATATATTTTATAATATATTAAATATATATAAATATATTTTAGTAGAAGCTTTTCTGATTATTTTTATTAGTTTATTGTTTTTTTCACTTGATCTTAATAACATCATCATAAAAAAAAATCTTATCTTTTATTATAAGATTGAGAGATAACTAGAGATTGTAACGTAATTTATACTTATATACGGCAAATTCTGGAAGAATCTTTATCAATATTGCAATAATAAAAAAAATTGCAAACAATTGTTCATTCATCAATGTTAAAGTTATTCTTTCAATTCTTGGTTTTTATTGTCGTGTAATAAAATGATTTTTCACAATTGGCTAATCGATGCTAACGATAGTTTTCTTATTTTCAGATAATTATTTCTTAATTAGTCAATCTCTCAAAATATACTTGCAATTTTTATAAGGATGCATACAAGCTTGGTCTCCCATAACGATTCATTGAATCCCGTTTGAAATTTAATAATCCATTTTGCTAATATGATTTTTCTGTCAAAAATTAGTCTTTCAGATAAACGAGTCGACAAATTATATGTATCTTTTATCGCTTCAAATCGATAGGCATCTATGAGATAAAAATTGCTGTCAATTGGATCAATGAATAAGAATTGTAAGTATGATATCATAGTTGAAAACAAGAGAAAGAGAGAATTTTATTGATCGTTTTCGGAAAAATCCTTGAAATTATATCAGACGATTATATTATCACAAATATTATCATCATGCAAAATTCGAATTCTCACGATAGAATCATTTTTAATATTTTATATTTTCTTTTTTGAAAAATCTTCTATACTTTTGATGAAAAAGTGTAAAATTTTCCCTTATTAAAAAGTTATTGGCACCTTGCAGAGGGTTAAAAAAAACGGAATTTTAAAGCGTTTTATAACGTATAGCAGAAATATTTCGTATACAAAGAGCCGTGAGAGTCGATGGCGGTTCTCGAGCACTTTTCCACCTACCATCTGTCGTTTGGGCTTCCAGCCGGAGTAACTTGATCTTTGTAGAAACCAGGGTTCGAAAACCTCCTACGTACGTATATACGCTAGTGTCTGTAGATTCTCGCATCCCCTTACGCTCGTGAACATTTTTTTAAAAAAATTGCACTTCTCATTTGTATCTCGCTAAACTATTTTATCTTCGTTATTTTTTCCCTTTTATTTACACTCCATTTTCTATTCTTTCTTTAACATGACAATTCTTTGGATAAACAGAGAAAATTATGGAGAATAATCGAGATAATTCTGTAAGGAAAAAAGGTTTAGAGTTATGCCTGACATCCGTTTAGATACGAGCAACAGGCACGATATTTCTTGCATTTTAGAGCAACGGAGGCGAATGGAAAAAGGAAGAATTGGTTGGAAGAGTAAGTACGTCATGTACAGGCGAATTTACTGTACAGGTTGCAAATAAAAAGGAATGATGATTTAGCATCTCCAAGCCGCGTTCAAGAGGCGCGTGCGAGCGTTCGTTGCGCAGGGAACGTCTGTTTTTAAGGCGAGTTGCGATCGCTATTAAGCGTTCAAAACGCGACTTATGCTTTCCACGTGCAGTCACTGCCTAAATATCAAATTTACTCACGGTGATTCGAACAAAACGTCTTTGCACGCCATCTTTTCTGTGCGAAGGAACGAACAAATTTATTAAGGAACGAGCTTGTATGCTATATAAATTAATAAAAAAGAATTCATATCTTTTAGAATAAATGATACTTGCCAAATGAAAAATAAAATTTTTAATAGATGTAGATCGCAAAAATTTATTTTTTTTTTTTTTTTAGTAGATATTTATCTTTATTATATGTAAATTTATTACTGTATTTTTTACTGCACGATGTTCCTTTTTTGCTGAAATAGTATTTTTTTGCAGGCAAAATGGATATGGAATCCCTGTACGACTACGGGGAGGAGGAACAGGATTTCTACGAGGAGAGTCCTGGTACCAGGAAAGGTTACCCGATCGATCACAGATCCATCAAGGTCAGTGATACTCTCTGATCGTTCATTCAAGCGAGGCAAAGACGGAAGGAAGAACTATCGTCGCTAAATTTAATCGCACACGATCCACAGGTGACAATTACACCGATCTAATTCTGAAATTACGCGCAATTTCGAATTATAAGATGTTTAATCTCGACCAAAAAATGTTTCTGTAACCGCGTGATTGCACGGTGGCGTTATTTTCGGGCTTCTCTTTGATGTCGCCGCTCGCGCTGCCAGGCTTTTCTATTGTGTAATTGTCATCGACAATTCGACCTCGCGATCGTTTTCCTTTCGTTTTATTCCTAAGCTAAAATCGTGAGTTTGCGTAAAAAGAAGAAAAAAAAGTTTTACGAGAGATAATGGAACATAATAATTCAAAATCTTCCCGTTATATTTAATTACATGTCTAACTGTAACCGTAGCTGGCCTCGTGAAAGAGAAGTAAATTGTTCAAATATAACTAACGAAAGCTATATGCTCTCAGTTGATATTGTGCAATGAACAGCTCGTTTCCAAACAATTATTCAGACAAAAATATAATATCTTAACACATCCGTTTTATTCAAAAAAAAAAAGAATAATAATAATAATAATAATAATTAACGAACAACCATTTCGCTACTATTACGAATTTTTATTAATATTTCATTTACAAAAAAAAAAAAGAAAAAATGATTTTACTTAAAACGCATTACGGAACGGTAAGAAATTGTACAGTATCACGTATCGTTTTGCAAATAATTAATTAACCCTGATGGCTCGTTAGGGACGTTAACGTGCATGAAACGCGATCGTTTTTATTGACCTTCCTCCCCGAGGAAGAAGACAGGAGGCCGTTTGAAATAGGCCAATCCTGCTCTATTTTCGCGGTGATAGTTGACGTTGGCAACTGCGTTGGCAGAGGTTGCGATTGTACGAGTGCCAGTAACAATTCGTTCCGGAGCTGTTCTCCGCCTTCGTTTCATGAATGAACGTAGAGCCAGCGTTCGTTTCTCATCCCCTCTTGCCCTTCCATCCCTCCCTGACCTCACGTGATTACCGTCTAACGCTTCTAACTCGGTCTCCTTCTCTCCTCTCTCTCTATAACTCGCGCGCTCTTCTCTCTGTCCTCTTTCTTCTTTCTTCGTTTCACTCGGTTGCGTCCCGTCCACTCGCTCTCTCTCTTTGTTCTCGCCTCTCCTTCGCCCTTTTCTTTCTTCCCTCGTACGCTCCTCTTTGTTCTTCCTCCTACTACATTTCCCCTCCTTCGTTTTATATTCCTTCGAGCTCTGTCGGAGCGAACACGAAATCTTGGATAGCGTGCGCCTTATGTAAGGCGTGATGTTTAATTGATAGCTCCGAGTTGGAAAACTATGTAAACGATCGTTCATATAACAGGGTTATACAAGTTTGGAATTAAACGAACGTGTGAATTCACGTAACGTAAAAGAAAAAAGAAAGAAAGAAAAAGGTTAGGACAATGTCACGTTGTATTTCGAGTCTCGTTAAGCATTTTAATCAAGTTGCACGTAAGCCACCCTTCTTTCTTCGCTTCTTTCTTCGAACTCGGTTCAAGAAGGTGATCCAAGAAGGTGATATTCTCACCGTTTCTTCGTCTGGTTTCACCTTGTTTAGCGCCCGCTGGCCTCCATCTGTTCGTTCTTGGTTGCCAGCTTACGCACTTTTGCTCCGAGTTTGAGCAACCAACTTGCCTCTCCCGATACGACTCCCAATACGGTGGATGATATACGGGTCTTTTTCCTACGCTAGATCTAGATTTGGAAACTCTCTAGATGATCGCCACGAATCTCTCTCTCGAATCTTTCTTTTAAAGTACACGATGATAATTCTATTCTGACTGATGATCGATCGTTGTAACAAGTTAATAAAAAGAATATCCTCCATCTTCGCAGCATTATTCGTCCAAAGAGATCATCCCGTAGTAGAATCGATATACGAGTTATCCGAAAAGGAAGGAAGGAAGGAGCATCGGCGGAAAGGAAGAGTAGTAATCCTTCGAAAGCGAAAGGGACGTGGAAGAGACGGAAAGTCGGTGAGTTAGTTAAGAGGAACGGGATGTAGGGACAGGCGGAAAGAAACGCGTGCACGGCAGCCGGTGCTCGGGGGCGGAGAAAGGAGAAATCTAAGTCGCCAGAAATAGCATCCCTTCTCGCATCATGTAGCCAGACCTTCTGCATGCGCCGTTCGTTCTAGTCGCATGCACCGTTGCCTCACCTACGTCACACGCTCTCTCGCGCACCTCTCTTCATCTCTTTCTCCTTCTCTCTCTTTCTCTCTTTTCATTAACGATTTTCTCGACGATTGAGAATAACGCAATTCGACGGATATAATTCTCGTGAAGAGAATCATCCTTGCGAGATATCTTTCTCTGTGACGGGTAAAAGTTCGATGGGAACGAAGGTTAAAATTCAATTTTTCGAACGATTCTTAGAAGTTTCGCTCAATCTCGTTCCATGGGGGAACGTTCGAAATAGAGACTGATGATAGTTTTCTTAAGAGGATGACTGTAGGTTTCTTATTAAAGATTCTTGTTTCAATAGAAGACTATTTTGGATATGCGTGAGGACAGAAAGGCGCGTTCTTTTTTTAGAGAGGGAGCGTTGAAAGTTTAATCGAAGGCGCGTGCTGATTTTGCGGTATCTTTAGTAATTCGAACGAGGAATTAGCAATGGAAAAGAGGAAGCGATCTAGATGAATTTGAGTTAGATTGATGATAAGAGGCTATCCAGAACAATTAGCGATTCGAATCGTTCTCGTTCGAACACCATCGATTCAGGATTAAACGATTTGGGCGTGGTGCATCCGTTTCCTTTCCTAGCTTTCCGTTGCATACTGATTACACCTGTTTTCCCCCTGACAATAGCGATCTTGATGGGTCGATTGAAGTAACCATTGGTTTTCTAGAGGAAATGTATCGAGAGGGTTATTCTTTTCGCTTCGTTATTGTAGATTTAAAAAAAAAAGAAAAGAACAAATGAATATGTGTATATTTCGATTGATGATACCTTGTTCGTACACTTAACATCGACGTTTCCTCCTGAAACACGAATGAATTTATAAATTGCGTAATCTGCACCGTCGAAATTTCACAAGTACTCAGTGTTTTGTTCATCCTCGTGGCCATATGTCGATGAATATTTAATAAGAGGAAAGCAGGACAGCTGTTGTCGGTGCAGGAACTGGCCACTTGGCCGTTTCTCTGCCGGAAGTCCTCCGCGGAACTCGTCGAAAAACGATCCCCCGCTTGCGCTCGAAAAGAGTCCATCCTCCCACGATTTTTTCCTTTAAATTATTTCGCAAAAATACGACTGAAATTAAAAAATTCACAGAGAGAAAGAGATTGAAAAATATATATATATATATATATAAAATCGAAAATTTTCAATTTCTTTCGCTACTTTCTTTCGTACTCGTAAATGTCATCGTTGTCATCGAAATTAGTTTTTCTCTAATTTTTAATAAAACTTGATTCACCTCGCATACTCGACGAATATGATGGAGTATTTATCTCGGTAATCGAGATCTCCTTACAATCGATCCTAGAGAGAGAGAGAGATTCACGAGCTTCTAAATATACGAGGGGTAACCTTTTGGCTTTTTTTAACGAGGGATAATAAAATCCATGCCCGATATTTACGTCGCGAGCAAGCAGGTCGATCTAGCGGAAAAGTTTTTAATCACGCGTGCCTTCTGTCATTCATTGCTGATAAATAGGAGCATCGTATAAATAGCGAACGGGATGGCGATGAATGGCGGACGTTACGTATCCATCGACGTTTTTCTCTCGTTCTCGGTTCATTGATGATACTTGCGTTTCACCGAGACCCTGATACCCTTGTAATCCTTTGTTCGATCGATTCGTTTCCCAGATTATCACCGAGAAAAAAAACGCAGAGGCGTACAATTAAATCTAATAACAAACGACGATCCGATTTTATATTTTTTAAATCGATCATCGCCTCGAAACACGAATATTTTAATGTCGAATTTTACAGCCGGTTTTCACCGATTATCGACACGATATCGCGAAAGAATATGTTGTTATATTAGAGAGTTAACAAATAGAATGTTTGATCATAGCTTATTGAGCTATTCGAATCGAAAAATCGTTGTGTTCAACGCTTCCTCGCAAGACCTTATCTTATCGTAGCCCACGCGCGTGCAATCAGGCGACATTCGGTCTCAGAAAACATTGATATTACGTTCATTGACGGCTTGTCTGCCCAGTGAAATGCATTTCGATTTCGTAACTGTATCTATAACTAATTCTATCTTGGTCACTCGAATATTGATGCACCCATCGAAATCCTTTGTCTCGATCATCGAGAAAATTTTATAGACACGTGGAAAATTAACCAATTCTCTCGAATACCCTCTCCAAGTAATTTCGAATTATTACCTCGCTGTCTCTTGCATTTATCCGTTTATCGAGTTATTCTTTCTTCAATTTATAATCACGTTGTCAATTATCCCAATGACGGTGTTAAACATGAACGGTCGAACGTCTCGTTCGTTCATTTTCCATTTGACACGTGTTTCCACTTGTCGATATCGGTTGTTAAAAAAACCGGCGAATTCGCCACGAATTTAACGTGGCGCATAATTCTCAACAAGTTCAAAATACTAATTTCCGTTTCCCAGGTTAATGGAATCAAGGAGGGATTTGAGTTCTATTCGGACGAGCGCTCAATATTTTAGGATAACGCGGTTTAACGTGGATTCGATGCGCGTGAAAAAATATTCTCTCCCATTTTTATTCCTGCATAGTTGTTGCATAGCTCGAATAGATTTACATGTCTGAAAGGACATTATCAAGGAAGCGGTCGAACGTCTATTTTTGCTCCCTATCTTGCTCGAAACAACATGCATGTTTGCCTTTGTCGCGGAACGGATTTCTTTTTCCTTTAATCTTCTGATTCATTTGATTATTAGCTTATTGATTAATCATCGCTCTACGAATATCATAACGAGAAAAATTGAATAAGCTTGACCCGCTGTATTCTTTATGTCCCGTACTTCGAGGCTACTTAAAACGATAAAACAATCGTAAAACATTCAATGATGAAACTTCCATCTCGAGACAACGTTTCGAAATAATGTTTTTTAAAGAAAGAAGGAGCGAAGAAAGAGAAGGAACGAAAGGGAGAAGTAAGGATCGAATTGAAAATTCATAATATGAATTTCGTTCTATTAACGTGATATATAATCCAATTTCCAAGTTAATGGCAAAGATTCAAGATACTTCGACGTGCAAGTAAATATCCAAAAAAATTTTTAAAACAACGTCAAATTTCGGGAAAAAAAAAGAACAACGTAGAAGTAGAGTTGGGGGGGGAAGGGGGAGAGGGGTAAAAATAGCTGGCGGTGAACGTGAAACGTGTCAAATAGCTCCTTTTCGTTTCTTCCTTTCAAGGGCGTTTTCAACGATCTTCTCTCTCTTCCTTGGCTTTCGCCGTTCGTTCTGTCAGCCGGCCAGCACGGTCTCTCTCTCTCTCTCTCTCTCTCGACCGGTCTCTCGACTCCTCTCTGTCCCTCTTCCACGTGGCCTATGTTACTCACTCATTCAGAGAACGGTTCGGGTTCGTTCAGAAGAAGTATAATGCCGATGTTCTTATATACGAACCAGGTCGTCGCCGTACAAAGGTACAGAGACTTGGTGCACCAAGATGGAAGCTTAATAAAGCATTCCTTCGCACGAGCGAAATTTCTTTTCCCATCGATCGCATCGATCTTTCGATTCGAACTTGATTCGAAGAATCGTGCGAATTGCGTTGTAAAATGACGACACGATAACCACACGGAGCGTGTGTGTGTGTGTGTGTGTGTGTGTGTGTATTCATCCAATAAAACGATAAAATAAAATTATCTGTTCGAGTTTTAAGGAATTCGTGGAAGTAAAAATTGTATAGGTTGAAACGATACGCTATCGCGAATGAAGATGAGAGTGTTTCGCCCGTACTTTTTCTTCGAAAGGAATAGAGAGAGAGGAAGGAGGGAGGGAGGGGAGGTTTGAATATATTAACGGTGATTCGACTCGTTGCGTTAATTATAAAGGATAAAAGAGTGGGAGTTGTATTCCGCGTCGTTTTGGCTCGGGGATAAGAACGGCGACGGATTCCGAGAAATAATTGCGGATTGCATCATTCGTAATTCGTACGACGATTAATTTATCTAGGCGCGAGCGTGATGCACACTCATCGATTGCGAATAAGCGAATTGGCGTGGGCGAGGCCCGGGTGAACTTGGCGTGGAAAAATGGAGTGGAAACTCGGATGATTTTATAATCCGACCGTCCCGTTTCAATTATGCAACGAACGGCCAAAGATAAAATTGAATGGGAACAAAAAAAGACTGGAAATGTCGGGTATCCATCGAGGTCTCGAGTGGAGATATATCGTATTGTACGCTACGATACTGAAATATCTCGTTGGATGGTTAGCCACACGATCGGGCTTGGCAGTTTGGTTCGGAAGCAAGTGGCCTGAACGTACGCACGGTCACGTAGATCTAACGTAGTGGAACGAATCGGCACGGCTCGGTATCGTTCGAATGCCGATGATGAAAGAGGAAGAGATAGGTAAACAGATAGATGGGCTGGCGGAGAAAGACGGCAAGCAACGCGTGACAAGAATTACCAGTCGAAACCGCCTATCTGCATACACGTGTTGCATTCGTATACCCCGCCGATACGTAGGGGAAAATAATTATCGCGGAGGACAGTGGAGCCGTTGTTCGACTCGCGATTTAATCGGGGCCCCCATTAACGCGAAATCTCCATTCTTTATTCGCGCTCTCTTCTCGCTCGCCGTCTTCTCCTCGCTCTATTAGACTCGGTTCCCGCTCCCTATCGTAATTTACGTTATAAATTTTCCATCGAGTTGAACCGTCGTGGCGCTAGAGAGGCGGCCGATATCTCCAGAAAATAGAATGTTTAAACCGATAGCGAGAGTCGGCGGTATAGGGAGAGCCAGAAGTAACCTGAATATTCAATGAACATGAACGTGTGTTATCAATGTTATAGATAAACGCGAATATCGTATATGTATGTATACATATGTATCACCGTTTATCTCCTTGCAACTCGAAATACCGATTATTCTAGAAAGTGGGATTTCGTGTGCAACGATTCTTACAATCTCAACACCTTAAATCCCCGTCGAACCCCTTCCAAATCGGCGCCAACTTATCTATCCCCGTTTATTCCTCGACTCGTGCACGATAAATTCGAGATTCATCAACCGTGATCCGTCAAACTTATGCGTGTGCATGTATGAGCGACGAGACGACCGAGTCTGGTGACGGAGGAAGGGTGGTTGGATGGACCGAGTCGTCCATCGAGGACGGGAGGGGAAAGTGGAAAGAATTAGAGGGGAAAGACTCGTGGAGTGCAACGAGCAGGGCGAGAGCCAGGGATCGAGTGCATCGTGAGAGAGGTGAAGGGAGAAAGAGGAGAGGAGTGCAGCGTAAAAGGAGTGAGCAGAAAAAAAGAGAGAGAGAGAGAGAGAGAAGGAGTGGAAGAGCGTAGGTACGGCGAGGCTAGAATGTTGCATCGAGTCGCAGCGCTGTCGTTGCATTGCGTACCGTTGCGTCACTCTCTTGTGCAGCGTTTCATTCAACTTGGAGTCCCTCGCACGAAGGTCAAGCGGTCGCAGCTATCGCTCTGCGCGCCGACTCTGATGCATCTCCTCCTTCTTCTCCTCCCACTATCCTCGTAATAGTCAATTTCTTGATTCGTCTAGTTTACTTTTTTCTTTTCTTTCTTTCTTTCTTTTCTTTTTCTTTTTTTTTTTTTTTTNTTTTTTTTTATTTATTATTATATT